CAGGCAGGACTGAATCTCCATTAGACGAAACTTAAAGAAGGGAATGACTTGGAGTCATTTATGTCCAGGCGTCCCCGATCAACCTCACCAAGGCCGGCCAGGAGCACCCATGTCTGCCTAGGAGCCCCCGACCGACCTCACCGAGGCCGGCCAGGCGGAACCAGGAGACAGCAGGAGATGGTACAATACAGCTGCTAACCGTCTTTGCTAACTTGCAAAGGCAAGGAGCTGCTGCTGTGTAGCACTGCAGTACCGCGTCTGACAGTGAGCTGAGCGGACTCCATGCTTGCCGTGGTATGTCGTCTGCACGGGTAATCCAGGAAAAAAGGCGAGAAACGATTTTTTGCCGTTGCTTTCACCGAGGGGACGGGGGGGGGAACCTGATGACATGTACCCAGAGCCACCCGCGACAACATTTTTGCCCCATCAGGCATTGGGAGCTCAACCCAGAATTCCAATGGGCAGTGGAGACTGCAGGAACTGTGAGATAGCTACCCACAATGCAACGCTCCGAAAGTTGACGCTAGCCTCAGTACTGTGGATGCCCTCCGCCGACTTAATGGTCTTAAGTGGGGACACACACAGTCGACTGTATCAAATCGATTTATAAAAAATCGACTTACATTATATCGACCTAATTTCATAGTGTTAGACATACCCTTAGTGAACAACTCAAGATGAGCTCCAGTGTGATGCTGTCACAAAGAGGGCTAAGGCTTTCCTTGGATTGAAGAGGGGAGTAGGGAGGTGACTTTTACCTGTGTATGTGGTATTGGTGAGAGATACTAGAATACCGCATGCGGTTCTGATGTCAACATTTTAAATAGGTTTTTTGAAGAACCGGAGAGGATATAGAGAAGAGCTATAAAAAGATTTGAGGCTGGAGAAAAATCCTTTGCAGTAAGAGATTTAAGGACTTTAGTAGTTTAGTTTATCAAAATAGAAGATTGAGGTGACTTTATTACAGTGTATAAGTACTTCCACAGGGAGAAAAATACCAGGTACTATAGGGACCTTTAACCTAGCAGCGAAAGATATAGCAAGAACTATTGTCTGGAAGATAAAGCCAGACAAATTCAAATCAGAAATAAGGCATGCACTTTTAACAGTAAAGGTGATTAACCATTGGAACAAACTACCAAGGGAAGTGGTGGATTCTTCATCTCTTGATGTCTTCAAATCACGATTGAAAGATAAGCTTTTAATCAAACACAGGTTATAGGGCTCAATTCAGGGGTAAATGGGTGAAATTCTGTGGCCTGTTTTATACAAGAAGTCAGACTAGGTGATCTAATGGTTCTTTATGGCCTTCAGGTCTATGAATTTCTTTCCATCCTCTCTGCTTGCTCATAGTGGTCTCTAAAAGTGAGGTTGGACTTGTTCATTCTCCGAGCTTTGGAATAGCTAAATGATCCAGGCCTCAAACAAGTACTTTGACCTTGTTTTTACTGACTTCCTCCACTTGAAAACTGCCTGTAAAGTGTCAGATAATGGCATCTCTGTCCAGTCTAAACAGTACCGTGCTACCAACTAAAGTCATCTTGTGGTATTCAGTGCTTTCCACACTATCAGAAAAGGAAGCGAGGAGTAGACAAACCTGGGATTTGCTATATCTCTGCGCAGGTGGATTATATTGTCTGTTGGTGTGCGTTTGATATAAGTATAAAGCTTATGGAAGTGTCTGCCAGTTGCGTTTGTGGGAGACTAACTCCAGGGTTGGGGTCTAGGATAACCCTTCCCCCCCTCACCTTCACAGAATGTGTTGTTTTTAGGGTTACCCTAGCGCGGTTTTGTTATTGTCAATGCTATTTTTAAGAAACTAAAATGCATGCAATATATAATGTTTTTGTTTTAAATCAATAGGTTCATTTTTTACTGGCCAGAGCTGCAGAAATAATGAAGAGGTAACACTTATACGTAAAGCTGATCTAGAGAACCATAATAAAGATGGAGGCTTCTGGACAGTGATTGATGGGAAAGTGTATGATATAAAAGATTTTCAGACCCAGTCTTTAACAGGGAATAGTATACTTGGTGAGTTTCAACTCTTGAATTGAAGGGGCACAGATTTTTGTTTTGTTTTAAAATTAATTGCCGTAAATAGCTGTTTAGATATTATAGAACTACTGAATATTCTTTTTTTTTCTAGCTCAGTTTGCAGGTGAGGATCCAGTTGTTGCTTTGGAAGCTGCCTTGCAGTTTGAGGACACAAGAGAGTCGATGCATGCCTTCTGTGTTGGCCAGTATATGGAGGTAGAAATAATTTAATATACTTCGTAGCACATCATATGTAGGATAGTAAACTATCTGGAGAAGTGACCTTTTCAGCCTGTAGGATTGATGCCAGTTTTAGTCAAGGACCTGAAGCAAAAACTTGGGTTACAAATGACTAATTGAGAGAGACAGTATTGCACTTAATGAAATTTAACTTATGATTGTATTAATAGTTTACTTCTTCAGAATGTGTTTATAGTAATAAAGGATAGTTTTGTTTTTAAACTCTTGTTGGAATTTACTTTTGGCCTCAATTTGATATTTCTTCTATTTAGCCTGACCAGGAAGTGATTACAACACCAGATCTTGGCAGTCTGTCGTCACCTCTCATAGACACAGAAAGAAATTTGGGCCTTCTTCTTGGACTGCATGCTTCCTACCTAGCAATGAGTACATCACTTTCTCCTGTGGAGGTTGAATGTGCCAGTAAGCAGAACTTATTTTCAGTTAAATTAGAAGTAATGGATTGTGTACTGTACCTCTGCATGCTTCCCATAATATGCTGGACCAGACTATTGTAAATATAATTTAATCAGGAACTTAGCATTTTTTTGGCCTCACTTTCTTCTGGACATAGCTTAAAGACTTTCTTGTTCTTCTTTTTACCATTAGAAAACTCTTAGTACATGAAAAACTTTTTTTCTCTTTGTTTGGCTGTTCCTCCCAGTTTTCTCTTTGTGATGCAGACATGCAGGTCTTTTTCACTTCCGGTTTGTGTAATTGATTCACTTTTATTCAGATGATTAAATGCCTGTTCTTTTGTGTATTTCCTTGCTTTGTAGCTTTCAGAACAGTGTGTTATGTGCTCTCTTCTCACTCTGACTTTTTTGACAGCAGATGACGTGAGAGAAGGAATCCTTTATGTATACTTTCATTCCTTATCCCCACTACGTTCACTGCGTTCCCTCTTCAATTTCATATTTTTCTGGATTTCTTCTAAACCACTTTGGTTTGCTGGTCTGGATTTCTGCTTTTAAAAGTCATTTCTTTAGTTTGTGTAAGGGGGCCAACCATGAAACGAATATTGTTTTTGCCACTTGAATTCAAGTACCAAATATACTCGCTGGTAAGCCAAATTTTTTTAGTAAAAAAGGGAAGCATCAGAGAAGGGGGTCAGCTTATGAACGGGTATAGAGAGGGAGAGGTGGGACACAGCCTGTCCCCCCAAGAAAGGGGGCAAGGAGAGGCAGCAGAGCCAGAAGGGAAGAGGCGGGGCCAGAGTCTCTCCGCTTCTGGCCACGCTGCTCTCCCCCCAGCCTCCAAAGCAGCTGCAGCTCCAGGGCTGGCAGGCTGCAGCCACACCGCTCAGCCCTGCCTGCTGGAGCAGGCTGCAGCCACGCCACCTGGTCCGTTGGAGCACAATGCGCCGGTGCTGCCCGGTCTGGCCCGTCGGAGCAGGCTGCGGCTGCGCTGCCCAGCCTGCCGGAGCAGCTCCAGCCAGGCCAGAGACATCCTCCTCTGGCCCACCCCAGCTAAGGTGGGAAGGGATGGGATGGGGAGAGCGTGGCGGTCCTGGACTAGGGGTGGGGGTCTTGTGGGGGATGGTCACAGGGGTTACTCCCCCTCCCCCCAGCTTTTCCCTCTCTCTCCTCCCCCCCCAAAAAATTGCCCCACCAGTTGCTGTCCCTGCCCATCAGGGTAAGCAGCTGGCTGGCGGGCGCTTTGTTTACTTCCATGCCTGTGGACGCTCGAGGTAAACAAACCATTTTGGCCCACCAGCAGCTTATACTGATGGCCCGGGAGCCAAAGTTTGCCAACCCCTGAATTATAGGGTCGGCTTATGAATGGGTCATAAAAAGTGTCCATTTTTACTTATCCATCTTGGGGGGGTTGGCTTATAAAAGAACCGGCTTATGATCGAGTATATACGGTACTTCAACAGGGAAAAGAAGTTAGTCTTTTGTCTACAATGCTGCAGAGTTATGCATTTGAGTAGTTCAATTGGGGGGGAGGGATAGCTCAGTGGTTTGAGCATTGGCCTGCTAAACCCAGAGTTTTGTGTTCAATCCTTGAGGGGGCCACTTAGGGATCTGGGGCAAAATCAGTACTTGGTCCTACTAGTGAAGGCAGGGGGCTGGACTCAATGACCTTGCAAGGTCCCTTCCAGTTCTAGGAGATGGGAATATCTCCATTAATTTATTTATAATTGACTTCAGTGGGGGATACACAAATAAGACATTATGGGATTGAGACCTTTGTCTCACAACGCTTATGTCAAACTCTAGTAGACTTTCATGCTTCATATACCCTTCTGTATGCACTTCTGGGACTCATTGTGAGTTTTTAAAAGATGACTCAGTATCCTGCTATTTGTCCGTCCTTGGCCAAGAACGTGAACAAGATTCAAAGGGGGACTTGCTGGTTATTTGGATAACAGGAATATCCGGTGTTTTAATAGTTAATGGTAACAAGACTATTGGAAGGGAGGTTAAACCTCATGCTTCAAGGTTTAACCTGATTTCTTATTATTAGGGGTTAGGGTGAGTCTTTCATGGGGTGGAAGAGCAGATTATCCCATGTTAACCTACTGTGGGGTTTCTTGTACCTTCCTCTGAAACATCTGGAGCTGGCTTCTGTCATATTGGACCAGAAGGACCATGATTCTGATCCAGTATGGCTGTTCTTAGAATAGTTAGTAAGACCTTCATGGCTTCATCACAGCTGATGGCCTCAGGTGAGAAGTGGCTCCCTGCAGTGGCTTGGTTAAGATGTTACCTTACTTAATTTACAAATAATTTGTCAATTGTTTTTCTGATTAAACTTCACCAAATAAGTGTGAAAGTCTTCTAAATTTACTCATGTTTGCAAGTAAATTTCATCTTTTGTTGTAAAGAATTATTATTCAGTTTAGTGACAGATAGCTTTCCCTGGCAGAAAGACTTACATATGTATTTTGTTTTCACTCTTGTTAGAATGGCTTAAGTCATCTATCTTCTCTGGAGGCTTGCAGACCAGTCAGATACATTACAGTTACAATGAGGAGAAAGATGAAGACCACTGCAGTTCACCTGGGAACACTACCCCAAACAAATCAAAACTATATTCACATCGACTAACCTTGAGTGACCATTCACAACCATTTCTGCAAGCCATTGCAGATAACAATATTCAGGATCACACTGTGAAGGTAAAATCTTTAGTCCCATCTTTACCAGGAAATTGTTTAAATGTGGCCAGAAGCAAGCCCCCTGAATTGTTGCTAGAAACAATTTAAAAGCTACCATAAGTGAAACAAAAGTGTTTTCAAATGTTGTTACAGAAAGTGTAGTTGAAAACTGGTAGTGAATTTAAATTGCTCTATTACACACATTGTGTAAGTGTTTGAAAACACTTTTGTTTCTACCTTTGGTAGCTTTTAAATTGTTTTTCAGCAACAGTTCAGGGGGATTGCTTTAACCTCTGGCACATTTTCTGTGAAAGGGGAAGCAGGGAGTTGGAGTAAAGCAAGTCTTCATTGTTTCTGTTGTACTGCAAAAACTACCTCCTGCAAGTAAAGTGTTATTCCTAGTCAGAGGTGAGGCCGGGGTAATCAATTATTTTTTTGTCCAAATTTCTAGGTCAAGGTATAGTCAAGGTCCAGACTCTAGAGAAAATAATACAATAATAATAATAATAATAATAAGTAAATAAGATTTTGTGGTCCGTTCAAAAGAGTCTGGCGGTCCAGATTTGACCCACGGTCCACCTATTGACTACCCCGGGTTAGGCTGTTCAAAATCAAGACACAGTCATTAATACTTAGATCCTAGCTAACGTATGATTCAATTAAAATTAATTTCTGTATGCAGTTTTTCTTATGAATTCCAAGGGATTTAAACTTTAATATTACATGAAAGGAAATTGAATACTTTCATTTAAGCTATAGTGACACTGTAGACCATGGTTACCAGTTGTACTAAGGTGGAATTATCTCCCAGTCAAAGTGCGGAGGTGCTGTGTACTTAGTGACCGTATCTGTACTCATATTTCTCAGTTATATAGTCCCCTGCACACTCTCAGTTTTAGATTTTTATGTAATTGTATAGTTATTTCTTAGTAGATATAGAATGATTACGTAAGTCTTTTGTGCTCAGATTGGTTACTGCCCTTGGTACACCTCAGTATGCCCACAAGTGTCCATCTCCATTTCTAACCCCATGATTCCTGTCGAACCCCAGAGTCGAGATATAATTTTGAAATATTATTCTTGGGAGGAAATATTTAAGACTGGGTTTAGGTGGCCTGGTAAGCTGGAGAACAGGTCAGAAGCTGTTAGGACTGTGCTCATTGCTGCCATGTTGTCAGGGCTGGCTCCAGGCACCAGCCCACCAAGCTTGTGCTTGGGGTGGCACCTAGAGGAGGGCGGTGCGGTGTGGCGGCTCCGGCTGCCGGGGAGAGCAGAGCCGCAGTGGGCTCACCGCCCGCCCCCGGCGCTCTGGCCGCCGAGGAGAGCGGAGCCCCGGCCGGGCTCGCCGCCCTCCTCCCGGCGCTCTGGCTGCTGGGGAGAGCGGAGCCCCAGCTGGGCTTGCCGCCCTCCCCCTGGCTGGGCTCTCCGCCCTCCTCTCGGCGCTCTGGCCGCCGGGGAGAGCGGAGCCCCGGCCGGTTGGGGAGAGCGGCCCGCGGCTGGGCTCAGCGCCCTCCCCTGCCGCGCTGGGGGGGAATCGGGAGGGGGGGAGGCTTTTTTCCCCTTGGGCGGCAAAAAAGCCAGAGCCGGCCCTGCATGTTGTGTATGATGAGAGCCCTCTGATGGGCTATTGTCCTCCAAACAGGAGTGACAATATGGATTGCTGTTTGGTGCAATAGCTTGTTCGTACTTCTAGTAATTAGGTGATTGATATCCTGGACTGAGAAATATCTTGGCTATGGCTTCTGAATGTATTTAACCCAGGATATTATTGAGTTTTCACTTGAATGCTGACTGTAGTGTTCTACATTACTATACCTGAAGAGTTAGATAGTGCTGTTTCTTTGACTTTAGTGTTTGTTTGCAGGACTTTTTATGTCAAGTAGAGAGGTACTGCAAACAATGTCACTTGACAACACCAATCACATTCCCTCCTGAGCATCCTGTGGAAGAAGTAGGACGTTTACTCTTATGTTGTCTTCTAAAGCATGAAGATTTAGGTAAGTAGACTTAGCTGTTCCAGAACACTTAAATTAGGGGGTTTGTTTATTTATTTATTTATTTA